TCATTATTAATACTTCCAATGATTCATTTAAACACTTCAAAGCTTTCAGATTGGTAAAAGCAAACAGTATATCAGTCCCATTCAAGCAAATCCATTTGATAATTGTTATAAAAGTGATTGTCATCCGGATGCAAAATGTACTTCCACTTCTACTGGTTATACGTAAGTGATTATATGAATATTGTTTCTTTTTTTCAAATGAGTTAATGAGTACAGGCAATTTTAGCACTGTAAAATTTTTTCCCGGTACTCTGATCGTAGTAATCACTCATTTACAGCAGCAATAGACATTGGATGGTGATAATTTGTAGAATTCAAGTATTTAAGTAAAAGTCTGAATTCGATTTAAGCCTTGTCTGACTAGACATAAGTGAAGTAATTGTAATTTAGAATTTGTCATAATAAAAGTGAAGTTTATTTTAGATATAAATTTTATTGATTTTGTTCAGGCATACCGAAAAATTACATTTCTGCCACGCAAGCATTTGCAGTACAAATTTTTGCAGATGTCAGTGTCCGGATACGCATCGTGACATGAACCCCTCAAAACCGGGACGTGAGTGCGTAAGTTATACTGGCATAAACGAATGCGAACGTAAAGAATGGAATGAGTGTGATGAGCATGCTCGATGTATCGATCAGGACCATCTATACAGGTACTAACATTACTTGTCAGTTTTAAAACATGCAAAATGGATGTGAATTTGCCTTTTAAAGGTGCGAATGACAAGGAGTTTGTGCAAGAATTTTGTGAAGTTTGTGATGGAAAACATTCGAATGGCAACAAATGATATAAATTTGCAGGTGTGAATGCATAAAACCATATGTTAATGCAGCACCACCGGGAAAATTGCCGGGTTCGGTATGCCGTATCGATTATTGCTCTGATGTGAACTTTTGTCCTGCAAATACTACTTGTCAAAACATAGAAACAGGGGTTAGAAGTCAATTTATTTGCAACTTGCTCTAAATTAAAATTGTTATTGACATTATTTCTACAGAGGTTTACAAATAGGAATTAACATGCGTGGAATTTTTAAACATGTGTCACGGTTTTTGCTTAAGTTTCCATGTTGCCAAGCCCTTATTTGTTGTTAGAAAAAGAAGCAAAAGAATAAAGGCGATAATAGGAAGAATTTGGTTGAAATCTAACTTCGAACAGTATGAAATTTTCACTTTTTTTAAGGCTGAATGCATTTGCAAAGAAGGCTACGTGGATCTTCGAGCTAGTCCATATCGAGATCAACTTAACTATCCAGAAAATGTGTACTGTTTACGGCTACAGGATGTTAATGAGTGTGCTCTTGGTCTTACCAACTGTAGTACAGTAGCAATTTGCATTGATCTACTGATTGGTTACAAATGTCGTTGCCCAGATGGGTGGGTAAATCACACATTTTTCATTTTTTTCTGCAACAGTGATGAAGAAACCCAAAAAACATGTTTAAAAAATTTAAATTATTTAATCTTTGTTCTTGCCAACTCCATATGATTTTGAGCAATGCTAAAACATTTTATTGAATGTAATATATTATTGAATTACTACTATTAACAGATATGTGGATGGTAATCCGGATGAACCGGGTCGAATATGTGCAGCACAGTTGTGCGGCTTATGTAACGGACACGGTGATTGCATATACAATGAAGCGACTAAAAATGTTACATGTTCATGTGTTGATGGTTATACCGGAGAATTTTGCGAGATTGAACCATCCAAGACACTTATATTACTCTTCCTGATTCTGGCTATTATATTGTTACTTCTATCACTATGCTTCTGCTTATATTTGTGCTCAAAGCTCAGGTATATACCGTACCATTACTACTTCATTTAATTATAATTATAATTTTTTTTGCAAAAAAAAGAAACAAAGTGATTGTCGAAATAATTGAAAAGGTATTTAGGATTTCAAATACCGTAATAATTAGTTAACATCATTTTAGGTGTTTCCGGCGAAGGACAGAAACAAGTGTTGGAAGTGGTCGAGAGATTCTCAGTTCCGATTACTATTCTATTCCACGAGCAAAATTAAAACGACGTGAAGTAAATATAACTTTTAGTTTCGAGAGTAGATATGGCCAGTGAATTTCTTGGTTTTAATCTTTTATCATCCTTTTTAAGGATGTTTAGTCTTTTATTTTTTCTATGGCTTGAATGTTTCATTTAAGGTAGATGAGACCGCCTCAGCGGAAGCGAGTAGCCGTCAGCTGCAACGTTACTTGGATGACGGAGGTTCCATTTCGGGTGAATCATCTGGTTCGTCAGTTCAGTTCGAAAGGCGAGTTATCACCGACATCACGACGCACGAAATCAAAAAAACCATTTATCATGATCCGGAAACTGGACAAGCAATTTATGAAGTTACTGCCACAGCTAGCAGTAATGCAGGTGATGGTGGCTATTCACAGGTATTATAGCACCATATTTTAATTAATTATCAAAAAATATGCTTTTATATGGACCGATGATCTTATCCTGATTTTTGTTCCGACCTTCAATTCGCTTTTTTTTAAAAGTCCTCCACTATTATTTTTCTTGTTTTGAAATAAAATGATTGTCTAACTTTCAAGTTTCTGCGTCCACCCATTGAAATCGAATCTGAGCAGCATGCAGGCGAAACAGAACGTACCGCGCGTTCTTCAGATTCAGTACCACGGAGTGAGTCAATGCCACGAATAAGTGGAAGTGGAAGAGGTACAATACGTGAAAGTGGATCACGTGAATATACAGCTACCCGAACTACTCGTCAAATGGTATGCGTAATATTTCATTAATTTATTAATCCTCAGTAACATTTCGACTGGATTCTAATTAAAGTGCGATTTATAAAACATCTTAAAATTTTGATAATAATCACCATAGTTCGTCGTTCTACAAAGTTTGTTAATTATTTACAGCTCTTTTAAAATTTCAATAACTTATAAATGATAAAGTGAATATTTCCATGTTACTGCTAAATATATAATATTGTCACTATCCTTGCACTGTCAGTCTAACTGATTTAGTACCGTACCTAACCTAATGCCTAATGCAAGGGAATGAGTGTTTGATTGAATAGTAAAAGCAAAATGTTATATTTTTTAGAAGTTTGATATTTCTTTGTTTACATACTAATTTATCAATTGCGCGCTAAGTTATAGCTATATAAATGGCAGTAATATTTTAATTATCAGTTGATTGTGCTCCCCATTTTAGGCAGATGATTACGATAAAAAAGAAACATATAGTCAAGAAGAAGAAATTGATGACGCCGTCTTTGATAGAACCACTAAGGTTTTTTTTGAAATTAAAAATTAAATTAATTTTTGTAAAGATATTGCAACAGAGCTTGGTTTACGTGTATCCCTGTTCTGTTGAATACTCTATACATTACTGTTGATCTAAAAAGTCTGGACTTTGACATATAGATAAGTGTATTGGAATAAATACAGAATATTCTTAGCATGCTAGATAAACTGCTAATAATTAAATTAGTTAAAGTATTTGCTGTTGAGACTAATTTAATAAATGTAATTAAATAAATATTGCTTCACCAAACAATAGAATAAGTTCATCTCAAAACTCATGATGATATATTTAGAGAAGTTTGAGAAAAGTTTACAAGATGTTTATCGATTAATTAAAGATTAGTTGACGGCCGTTAATTAAACGAAACAGCTTAGCATTATTAGCGGCCAATAATGATTAGCTCTGCTAACTATGGAATCAGTTGTCTGTCAATAAAAATTCTGATTGAGTCACTGCCATTAGTTTTTAATTGCATTTAAATGAAAAATTAAATCAGATTAAAATTTTCACAGCTTTCTGCCCGACGTGATTTTGTGCCAGCAGAATACGGACATGGTGGAACGGAGCGAAGGCGCAACGAATTGTCCACTACGACCAGATCACAGGAGACAAGTTACTATTAGAAATGACGTCCTTTGTTGACTGCATGGTTATGACTTGTTTTATAGAAATTTTTTCCAGTCTCAAAAATATTCAAAGGACTTATTTTCAAATTGTTCAAATTTGATAGATTAGTCCAAATATAATAATAATAAGATTAATTTAAATTTACTGTCAAATCTGTGTAACTTTGATTTTCCTTCTAAATTTTCTGTTGAAAATTTTCGGTCCTTCTAAATCGATCGAACAAAATCTTTTCAAACAAAGTTTGTCTTTTCGGAAACATACGCAAAAAATGAAAAGCTGCAAAACCGATTAAGGCAACGTGATCGTTTAATAAATCTGTTGGATTGATATTTTCACTAATAATTTAGAATGTAGACCGTGTTTGATATTTTCACTAATAATTTAGAATGTAGACCGTGTGGCACTTTTGCAAAATGATTGTTTTTTCAGTAATTTAGATTTCATTTTTTAAATTTTAACATCTTTCATGCCATTATGAACAATGAATTTCACTGCCGCTATTTAATGATTTTCAATGCTATTCTTGCTTTTTTGTACTTATATCTGTGAAATGCATCAAGGAAAAGTGCCAAATTTTATCTCATGCGACTTTATGAATTTTCTTGGATTTTTTTTTTTGAAAACTGGACAACTCTGATTTGTATACTTCTGATTGTTAGATGAAAGTAAGTGAATGTTTATTTATGCTATTTTCAATCTGTTCCCTTTGCTGCCATATTATTTGTATTTCTTTCGAAAGCAGCTGCAATCTGCTTAATTCTGCTCATTTACAATGAAGAGATGCTTCGGTATTTATTTGAAATATTAGAATGCGTGAGACGATATAAGAGTAAACGTAATTGAAAGCTTACGTATTTTTCATGCATAAGACTATATGATTTTAGACGCATATCACCTCACTCATTTCTATGATAAGCATATGATAAAAGTTTTAGCACCCTTTTTTACTTGCTGAAAATAATTTATTATTAAAATAAAATTTTATGATATGTCAAATTCACAATTTCTGTTCTGCTACTTGAATTTTCAACTTAAACTAAGCGAATTTTTTATAATTTATCAAATTTCGCCGACTACAGCCTTTCTTCATTTGTAATTTCGAATGAAATATTAAAATCTAAACTATATTGTATAATCGGGTATTTCTCATATAGCGATATAACTGCCTGATTGTTTTGTTTATCGCATAATATTCGTAACAGTTATGACAACTGACATTCATATTTTATTGTGATTAACTAATAATTTGGTTGTAGAGGAGAAACACCTAAATCTTTCTAAGTAGGAAAAAACATTTTTGTTTACTTCCTGATCAACAGATTCGATTTTTGTTTACTTCCTGATCAACAGATTTTTTTCCGATTTTTTTTAATAGTAATAAAACAGCACCCTACAAACATTGTTCTAGCATTTCTCTTTTCCAGAAATCATCTAAAAACATCGTTCGGGCAGGATATATAAATATAAAACGGAAAAATTGTACGCACAAAGATGATTCATACGACTTAAGTTCTAAATGTTTCAATAAATGCTTGAAAAGAATAATGCTATTTGAAATACTCTCCGGGATGATGATGTTGACATAAGCTAATAGGAAAATATCATCTGTACCTGATATAGGGGAGCACAGTTGAGAAGAAACTGGTCACTTTATTGAAATTAAATAATCCATCGATTGAGAGACCAATCTTATTCCTCTCCCTGGCACAGACCAAACTGTCTCTTCTCTAACTCAATATTTGTATACAAACTATTACACCATACCAAGCTGAATTTTGAATCCATCGTCGATATTATTTGCTTATTACATAGAGAGCAGAAGCTTTGTTATCTATCAAAACGATAATATTTATAACAATGTCAAAAATCTTTTTTTAATTCTTTTAAACCTCTTATCATTAATTTCAAACTTATTATGTAATTAATATATTTTGCCTATTACGTAATAATCAGACAGATAACTGATCTAATACAAGAGTTAGAAGACGAGGTTACTAACTGGAGATTTGATGAAATCTAACATTTGCTTCAATGCTATCAACCCATTGTTCACAAACTTTTGACCTTTAAGTTTGGTCTTCATATTTCATTATACAATATATTCATTTTCAAGATATCTGTTCATTTTCAGTGGTTTTTCCTCAAATGATCCAAATGAAACTTATTTCCGATATTCATTCAATCTCCTCCTCTTTCACTGATTATTTTAATTTTGGCAAATAAGCTAACTAGAAATGTTTTCCTATATTTTTTTCGCCTATGTTTGTTGTTGATTTTTGGTTTCACACAGTTCCGAATTAAATTGGTAGTCTTTAACAATGCCGCTCTCATTTCTCGTTTGTATACCGACTATTGATAAGTGCTTATCTGTCTATTATCAATAAAAATAGCTCGAAACGTATATTCCTTCTTCCTTTCTTTGTTTTCTTTCTATTCTTTTCTTATTTTTTCCTTTCTTTTATCAAACATATCAGACGTATTTTTAGATCATATTTAGTATTATTTGTTGTAAAAAGAATGGCAAAAAGAATGAAATAAAACACTTCATTGATTCTCCATACGTAATATTTACAAGTACCTTAGATGTTTCAAGGTTGATAATTAAAACATAGCTTACTGTAAAAAAAGTTTTAATAGTCTTTGATGAATTAATTTTTCAATCTAGAGAAAAAAAAAGTCGAAAGATGAAAATTATCTACAAAAGAATCATGTAAATGTTAAATATTACAAAACAATAGATTTAATAATCAATAAAGTATAATTCCTGCCGATGGATTTTGATCCATCTGTATACATTATCAATTATTTCATTGTGGGGAGATTCCCAGGTTTCAATGATTCATCCATAAAGTTGACTCATTCTAATTTGCATTTATGCATGTCCTTCCCCTTCCCCTCCCTTATGTATCACTGATAAAATGTGAAGAAAATGAAGCAGACTGGAAATGTACACACATAAACTCCTCCTCTTCCATCACACATATCTGTCCATTTAGTAAGCTAAAAGAATGCGAATTAAATTAAGCATGTTTGATTTAACATTCTCCTATCCTATCATTTGTTTATTTCTACCCCACCAGAAGCTTATTTTCCATTCGATTTTTTTATTGCAATACTTCTCTCATTGTAGTAAATATGACTGAGAGTGAAGAAAGGTGACAAGAGGGGATTTAGCGGAAGGTGTCAATAATTCCTCATGAAACTGTTAAAGTAATCGATTTTTTGCTATGATGAAATTATTTTTACATAATGCTATCCTCTAATTTTGATTTTCCCGATAATAATTTTCAGATTTAACTTCATTATCCACCAGAGATATGGAATATGCAGATACCATTCTTTTCCCATCATTTTTACTTTTAGTTCATTCTAATTATTGCATTTATTGGATTCTTGTGAAAAATCTCGGATATATTTTTAGCTTTAAATATGAATATTTTTGAAATTGTCAAATTACTATTCAAACTGCTTTCGGAATATCGATAAATATTTGTCGAATAAATAATATTCCTATTCCGGTGATACTGCAATTGCCATTTATTTGTTGCTTCGATTAACATATAAACAAAGAAACGATATGGCAATTAATCCGTGTTTTTGCTGGAATATTAAGGATGGTACCGTTACTGTTGGCCTTTGGTCACTGGTTAGTTAAATTTAGTTTATTTTCATTGTCTTAGAAGGAAAATTCCATTCATTTTTAAGGTAACAAAACAGGAAATTGTGTCTATTTAATCAGTTGAAGTTACACTGCAGAAAGTTTGTAATTCTTGATTATATTGGATGGATTTACAAAGATTATTTTTGTTCTACAGTTTCTATCAATTTTTTTCGGGTTTTTTCAACTTCGCTTTTTTGAAGTAAAAGAATATTTGAGAATATTTGAGATTCCCACAAGATTTTTATCATACAGTTGCATGTGAGAAAGATGATTAAAAGTGAGTAAGATTTATACTTCAAGTCAATAAATTTGAATACATATCAATTTTAATTAAATATAATCGTGTTAATGGTCTAATTGAGAAATTCAACGTAGTTGATACATAGTCAGTATAAATCAAATTAGCTCATAAAGTTAGCAACGTATAATACGTCAAAAACTATGAATCAACCTCAGACAAAACAAAATATTAGCACACAGAGCTCCATTTCGCATAAGTATAATAATATATGAAGAAAAAATACATATTTTTCTTTGAAGGTTTATTCATTGGCATCGTTGGTACTATTCGGCTGGCAATTGAATGTTATCAGTTCTTGTCAAACAGTAACAATGTCACAAGCAAATTTGCAATGCGAGTATTGGTGCCCATGTGTTGGCGCTTCCAATGAACGTACAAGTGCCCTAATACAGGGTAGGGTACCCATGCATATATCAGCACTACACTCTTCTTTTGCTAACCAGTTTTACTGGTGGATAATATCGAGAAAGAATAGAAGCAATAGTCGGTGAAAAACGAAGAGATATAAGTATTACGTCCATAACAGTACATAAGAGAAACTTCTGTCGTCCTTAGTAGTCATCCTCTTTTCAAAGATGTTTGAGCATACGAATAGAAATCGAACCTGATGAATTGTCCAGTAATAAATAAGTAGTCATTATTGAACCTAATGAGATGTCTGGTAATACATAAGCTATCAAACTATCATCCTATCATTTCGTACTGCTATTGAAGAATCTTAAATACTACAAAACAAGCATTTAGATTTTAAACATCTTTTTTTTCTCAATCTTCACTCCTGTTTTTTCACACAAATCCATATTTAATTCATCTTTACCCCTATTTATTTATGTTCAGTTTACTGTATACTATCTGTTGAAATTCAAATGTCCAATCCTTTATAAATTCCTTACATTTTTTTAATTAATTTACCAGCCGAATAGTTGCCAACTGAAAGATGAAGAAATTTGAAAGAAGTTGGCGAAAAAAAATTAAAAATTACACCAATTTCATAAATTTCAACAAAACAAAATTTTTTGTGGGAAATTTTCCAATGTTTCATTTAATTTTTCTAAATCTATTATTTATAAGTTAAATTCAAAAAAAAAACAAATATTGATTGGAGAAAATAGTTCAATTAATTTTAAAAATTGAAAATTTTTACTAGCAGATTTATGACGTAGAGTGGGATATAGCTAGCATATGTTCCAGGTGTATTGCATCGTACAGTTGGCACTATTCAGCTGGCAATCGTACGCAATCAAATATTGTCGATACATTGCTGCCAATCAATTAATACCTGGCCATAATACTTATGCCGCTTAGAACATTCCCTCATATATCGAGAATTACTATGACACTTCTCAAACACTTTTTTATACCCTATATAACTTCTATAATTTCTATGACAATTTTATACCGATGCAATTTCCACGATGATCCGTACACACATAACATTACACATAACATGACTATGAGAATACACTTTTTTGCTTGTTAATAAATTTCATAAAAATTTAACTGGAAACTATGAAAAAAACATATATATGTTAGACTTACCACTTAGCAAATAGAATATTAACATTTAGGTTCCCTTTTGAACATATCCCTCACTTAACGTACGTTTTGTTTACTTACATAGTCCATCATTCATTCATAAGTAACTGCTTTCAGTCTTTCATTAGGAATATGATTTTATCTCTCATTTATTGTTAACATATTCCGTAATTGAATTATTACAGTTATCACTGGGGCACACATATTATATTATTTCTCTTACAGAGCTTTTGTTTAAATTAGTGATATTACTCACATTAGTTACTACTCAATTCTGTTTATCACAGTCCTTACAATAACAGTGTAGAAAGTCGTCGTATCCTCCTTAACTTAATTAAGGCAGTTAAGTTTCGTCATCGAATTTTGGATTAAAATTAGCAACAAACTTTTGCCAGTCGAATATGCCAACTGCTGCTACGTAAATATGAACGACGCGCATATTTAGCGGAGAAAAAAGTGAATATTTGAATTTGAAATTTTAAATTTAATGTCTAGTTCTGCAATTTGTTTAAAATGAACCCAATAAAGTCTACAATCCCTTTAAATTTTTTATAGTTTTAGAAAGCGGTATGAGAATTTCTTGTCTCCGTCAATTATTTTATCGAAAGTCTTCAATGATAAGACATATTTGTCTTTTCTTAGAAAAGTGAAAATATATCTTATCACTCTCTTAGAGAAGGAGAGAGAGAAAAAAAGTAGATGAAAATAGTTTGTTCAGATTTATGGCCTAATGCAGTTAGCAGTATTTGGCTGGCAAATGGCAGCAATAAAATATGAGAAAGATCGTGCAGCAGGTACAATTCTACCAAACTATAACGAATACGGTAGATTGGATATACCCAGTTATTACGAAAGTTATTGGCAGAGCCCTGAGGAACGCTTTTATACTGGTTTGTACTTCCCGAATAAATCAATATTAAGTTACAGTTACTGAATTGAATGGCCAATGGTCAAGTGGTCAAAATTTCTCTGTTCTCCGTTCATCTATTTTCATCCTTCATTTGCCCTCTTCATAACATTTCTGCTTACTTGCATAATTGTTTACTTATCTGTCATGGCCAGTAGGAATTCATAAATTTATTTGTTTTTACAGAGCCGATTTCTCATATAGTTTAATTTCATTTTTATTCTAACTGATTTCAGGTTTATTCATTATTCAAATATTATGCCTAATCGCCTCATTTTTCTTATTGTTTGCTTCTTGCTCACTCATTTATGGTGCTCATATTGTAAGTTATTTTTTTATCTTTCAAAACTTTTAGTTTTTGTAATTTTCAATTGTTCTGAGGAAAATTCATATATGTTTTGACAATTCATTTATCTGATTACGATATGACCTAGGCCTAAGTCTTGGAAACTTTTGAAGGGACAGTGTCATATGTGTCGAGGCAGACCTTAACAATTTTCATCAGCTGTTAGAAAAATTTGACGGTAGTATTGTGTGTCTATTTTGGGAACTCGACCTGCAATTTGCGCCATATTCTAATCTGTTCTACGCTATACCATCTCTCGAGTACCGAAAATTAATCTTTTCAAACTTAAACTAATCATTTTTATTTTGGTATTTGCGATGTTTGGTATGGCCTTGGCTTCCCTGTATGATAGCTAGCATACTTTGCACACTAACATATTGTATTATGTGGTGGAGCGGTGATGTCCGTGATTATTGGCTTGTACTTACAATTCTTGAAATGGTTACCATATTCATCAACGTTCGTTCATTTTTGTTTTTATTCTAAAAATCACTGCTCAAATACAAATTTAATTTCAATTTTGTAATCATCTGATAAATATGCCTATGTTGGAAAACCATTAATTCTATGAAAATATATGGACCATAGCTAAATTTATCAGATAGTTTCGATGATTTTTTGGTATTGTAATGTGTTTAATTAAATGACAGGGTAATTTTGATGATATTGATAGCATAGAAATAAATCATTTAGGAAAAAGAAAGCAAACTTGACTTAGAAATGTTTTCCAGCTGTACTGCGTATTTGTTGTATTGTTGTTCTATCGTTATATCAGTCATGAAATAACTCATCACAATGGAAAAGAAAGTTATAGACCAAGAATATACGATGAATTGAAGAGAGATAATTATCACGTTAATAATTATCTTCCCGGTAAGCATTTCCATTTCGATATGTTGAAAAACACCTAACGTTGGGATGAAGAGAAAGAAATAGAGAAAGCACTATGAATTTGATGCTATCGAACAGCGAGACGATTAAAAGAACTAAGAAAAATTAATAATGATTTGTAATTTTGATTAGTATCATGATATCATCTTGAAATCGGTTTGAATAATCTAAGTGAAAACTAAAGCATCTTATTTTCTCTTTACAGAATTGGAGCATCCTGTGAAATCAGGCTATAGGAAAAATGAATCATCACGACGTGATCAGTATAATCGTCTAAAGGATTATACGATGGTGCAGCAGCAGTCTGTCTCGGCTACTCCAACACGTGTCCGAAAAACAACCTTCGCAGATGATTTAGTTTCTACATGGGTCAAAGAACAACAGTCTCTAAGTATACCATTCCATGACACTTTTTTCCAAAACATAATTTAAAAAAAAATTAATTTGAAATTAATTAAGAATTGAGAGGTGAAAATATTTAAAATTTGTTGATTTTGAGCTAATTACAGAAGATTTGCCAGATCATGCTAACAGTGAACCAATCACGCAACAGAAACCAGGAGATATCTATTCGTTGAAGGTATGTTTATTTGAATGACTAATGATTTAAACTACAATACCAAGTTTTATAAGCTTAACTCGGTTAAATAGATTTTTTTTTAAAAAGATTATATAGACACATAATTTTTCAATTTTAATAGAAAATCTTAGCAGAAGAAGGATAAAAACAAGTTAATAAGAGCTTATTAGTCGTTGAACAAAAAGAATTATTTTTTAAATATTACAATTTTCAGCTGAGATAAATTTGTTATTGTAGCATTCATATTCTGTGCCATCAATTAATGCGAGAACCTCAGGTGCTAGATGTTGTCATCGTCATCGACACAAACATTGTCATCACCGTCATCATCATCGTCATCATCACCAACATAAACATCGGTAATTAATTTTCATGAATTGGGATTGTGAAATTTGGCAATATTGTTAAACATTTTATCTCTGAGCTCGAAAGCGAAAATAACTATCAAAGTTTTATCGATCGCACACAGAATGGAAGTAATGGAAATTGCTTACTAAAAATTAGTTCAAAGTGATGATTGAAGAACAGCTACTGTTGTTAATGTTGTTATTGCAGATCGAGCTCACGAGATGACCAAGATGATCACGGTCGACGAAGAAGCTCATCAAGACATCGTTATCGTTTTCCATCTATAACAAGCAGTTCTGGATCAGTGAGCACTGATTATTCAGGTACTGCGATAAAACTTCATAAGTTTTTATCATTTTTCGATTAAAACTTTACATTCGAACTGAGATATCTTTTGATAAAGTGATTCTTCGATAAATAATACCGTACACCTAACTGGTTAGAATAACTTTCATATGATCATGTTGAATGTATTAGCCGGACGTATCCAGTGATTCTACCTTTCTAGATTTGAAATTTACTTTTAATAGTTTATCTTTTCTCAATCTTGAACTTACTTTATGCAGAAAAATAAAAAAAGTTTGTTTAGTGATGATGACCATGTTGCATTTCATAAATGTAACATAACCGATTTTCCTTTATTGCTATTCTTTGACCATATATTTTGCAATAAACTAAGATTATAGGACAGGAAAGTTTTCTCAAATGTGTCCAAGGAAAAATTTGACAGCTTAATTAGTAGGTGCATAATTGGAATAAAAGTATGATAATTTTGCCCGAAATCCATGTCTGATTGCTATAACGTTTTTGAACTTTGAAGCGAATATTTCATGATATATTGGAGACCAGTTTGGCGCTAAGATGACAATTCAAAATTTATGACAATATTTACAGACGACTCATATCTTATTAGACGTCGTTCTCGAAGCTTTAAGAATGGTAGTGCGGCAACTGACGATCTCAGAATAGCCGAAGGGCATAGGTCACGGCGGACGGAATTTGAAAATCATCATGAAAATTTGAAAGGATTTGGAGATCGTCGACGCGGATCACGGAAATCAAGACTTCATCAGTATGACGATAAAAAGTTAGAATCTTTATTTCAATGAAAAATTTTAATTTGATCAAATTTGAAGGACCTAAATTTTCCGTTTTTTGGTACCACTGAAGTTAATATCTCAAGACACGCTGCACTGATTTATTGGGCTGCTATTCCAATAATTTTTTAGACTATGGCCGATCATTTTTTTCTTATCGTTCCATTCTGTTGTAAATTGATCATTTTTTGAAAATATTTCGCATGAGAGTACGTTTCAGAGGGCATACTGTAATGATATTATTTTATGTTAAAATTTTGGGTTTATTTTCCAATTATTTAGAAAATGTTTTATACTGCTATTTAAGGACAACTTCGCGTAATGCTTCGCCGACTGTCGCTGTGCAAACAGATTCGGTATTATCACATTGGCCTCTGGATATGCAAAAGGGATTAACACTTCCACAACAAATCATCATTCCACCATCACGTGGAAATATTGGCCCAGACGGCCGTCCACAACCGCAAACATATCAAATTAACTCTGAAATAAGAATTTCTTACGATCAAAAGGGTAGACCAATACCACATGAAGTTTCCGCTTTATCGAGGACTCCAGAGAATGGGGAGCAATCTTCTCCAACATATTCACAATCTCGGGTTAATGTTTCTTAAATACATTTTAATCCTTTCAGCAGCGACTACGTCTAAAAAGTTTAACGTCATACCGTCAACTTTTATGACTGTGAAGTATTCTTTAAACGAAAGCAAGGAGGCACGAATAAATCATGGCATACATGACAGCTCATATGCATATAAAACTTCATTTGCAAATGATTTCATGCCTAAGTTCTTTTCCTTTGATCGCAAGAAATCTCTCTGGAAAAATTTTTTCCAATCTTAGGAATTATTAAAGAGTATGAGAGCATGAATTGTTCAAAATATTAGGATTGAAAATATCAATGAAATTTCAAAGCACTAATTCATCACCTAATCTCTCCAATTTTTAAATTTTTAAATTATGTTTGAATTGTTCGAAAGATGGTATGGTATCACCATAGAAATCTGTGGAATACAAATCTCAAAAATGGGTTTCAAGATTTAGCCAATTGGTCTACAACACTGACTTAATGTTTTATTTCTAAAAATTTCATTTTTATTGCTTGTTTAATCTTCATGTTTCATTTTTTTCCAAATAATTTTGTTTCTTTAATTTGAATCTTTTTTGATTTTCAAATATAACTTTTCACGATTTAAGTTTAATTTCAGCCTTATTCAATCACTTCTGTTGTGTAATGACTATTCACTTATTGCTATTTATCGCTTACAGCATTCCCAAATTTCATTTGTAAGTTAGCACTTTCATTTTTAATTAAATATTTCATATAATAGAAGCAATTTTTTTGAACTGAAGAAAAACGGCATGAAAGGAGGAAGTGTCCAAGGTGAACGGTTTTAAACGTGAAGGAAACATGTAAACATATATTTTCTTTTCAGATGATATTGGTGTCCGAACTGGAAAGCGATATGATATATAATAAATGCAATTCTTGTGACATGTATGTGTATATCAGTATAATTCTATTCATGCATTTTAAAAAATTAAATGATCCTCCATTATTCATTCAGTTGTATCTCGAAGAGAAAATAACTTAATTAAAAAAAAAAAAATGATAGCCTGACAGTGAGGAAGAATCAATTCATATGTGATATCATCAGCGCATATTGTAATGTTGTAAGCATTAATGCCATAATAAATATGTGTTCCTCAAACCAATGATTCTCATTAGACGTAATGTCCATTCAGCGTAGGTTGATAAATTAACTTTGTTACAGTGAAATAATCCTGCACTACCAATACTTTTGCAAATGCAGTAATCACTGAGTGAGACGATATCTCCGGGCAATCATAAATATCGCGTGTATATATTTATAAGATAAATTATAAATCATTAATATGATTTGATATAAAGAATTCTGTATGTTCTTTTACATAAATAAAATTGAACGCATCACTGTGAACGAATAGTGCCAGCTTACACCTCACATCGGAAAATGAGGAATGCCGGTCATTTCCGCAGACCGCTAGGATAAAAATTGCATAGCATTCCACAGGATGCAAAAAAGTGGGCCGCATCTGTTTGGAACAGCTGCTCTAGAGAGATGAGGTCGCTCTACAGGTTCAGACTACCTTACTGCCGTGGATATACGGTTGTGTTCCGCTTTCGTCAACCGTGAAGTAAACGGCGCTGTGTAATATGTGTCTTACTCTGGGAGTTATATGATCAATTAATTAACGAAATTAAGTTCGGGTGCTTTTCAAATTGACAGCTGATTGACGGTTATGTTGCTGACTTGCATGAATTTTTTTGGGAGATCGATCTTAGTCATATCTGATGATACACGAAAAAGAAGGCTATTTTCAGAGAAATGTTGAATTCATCTTGGTGGCTGCTTCTAATATATTTAACGGTAATTGCTAATGGGAAATTAAATGGACAGCACATAGATAAACACAATGACCATCATGCTGTTAATGGCAGCTATCCGGTGAGAGAAGAACGCAAGGCATATCATGATCACGATGACTTGTTCGGAGCTAAAATGTGTAAGATTGTAGATGTTTTGTTCAATTTATATAATTTTTATTTGATTGTTAAATGCCGTGCTTGTCATGATAAAATTTTGAAATTCAAACTTGTGCTGAACTGCTTTGAACTGTACGGAAATTTCGTGCTTTGTTTTTGAAGTTCATTTTTTTAAATGACTAATATTCTCTAAGTCGAATAAGATTTTGTAAGAAAAAAAGTGGAAAATGTGGAGTATATTAGCTAAAACATTGAATTACCTATTTGAAATGGACGAAGTTTGTAACCGCTGAGCTTTTTTGGACTCATAAAAAATGATGGCGGTTGAAATTTTTCCGAAAATATTGTTAATTTTTAGATAGAACGCTTTTCTCTGTGAAGCATCGCGAACATTTGAGTGCGGTGAGAAGCTTGATGGCTATGAATGAAAAGAAACGAGTGAAGCTTCTTCTTGAATTGATCTCCAATATCATTAAGGTAAATAATGGCTATCTTCTAGAAAATTTTGCACTGAATTTCTGCACAGGCTCTTCTTTATTCTACATAAACTAAATTTTGATTGAAACAATTGTGTTAATGTGGTTTTTTTCCTTTCTTTCAATTTATACAAATTTTATCTGAATCAGATTCTTCGGATTAGTTTGAGTTCTGAAGACATATATATACTGAAATTGTTGAAATTAGCGAAGAATAGGGAATATTTATGAGATGAAGTTTGTTTTGTCTAATTTTCTTTGGTGATCCTCATATATTCTGCATTATAATGAATAATTGATAAGCGAAATAAGGAAAGGGCTCTTTCATCAGCTATTCTTTGGAATTGTTTTGAGGAAATAATTACGGGGCAAAGTTGGAAATCTTGTGACATTGTATAATATAGGAGGAAAGTACGAAAGTAACTATAGGTGATGAGTAATGCGAGAAATATAATTGAAAAAGCCAATTTCAACCCGAATGATACATTTCCTAGTGAAGAGCGAAGCACTTTGAGAGATGCTATTGGGAATATTGTCGAAAATACTGCTTTTTACAGTAATTTGGCATTATATTTTCCAACAGTACTGCTAGACAGGTAAAAATTAGCTTAGTTTGTTTTTAGGATGTTAAGTTATGCCATTTGCAAAACTTTATAGACTTTTAACGTTTAATTCTTTTGTATTTAATGTTTTGAAATCCGAGTTCTTTGTTTTATTTTAGTGTTTCTCAATAAAAAATCAAGAAAAGGTTAGCACTAAAATAAATTTTGGCTATTTCCCCCAATATTTTAAAGATGGCCAGCGCTGGCTAGAACTTCTCAACTGATAGTTTGGCAGCAGGAGTTAGAGCAATTATTTTTACTTATTAGCTGATTATAGGTATAAAAAGGATGCCGATTGGCAATTACTATTTGCCTGGGCTTATAAATTTACAACAACAGCACACTTGCATGATGACGCTGCGGAAAAATTGCTCGATTTAGTTGGACAACAGTTAGAAATCATTCCAAGGTTACTATTCTAGAAATTTTTTTGCTTTGAAGAAATAAAATATGTTGAAATGATTTGACATGTTTTGCAGTGGAAGAGTTGCATTTTATTTTTCCACTTTAAATGATTCAGTTGTCCTTTGCTTTACATGGAGATGTTGAGGCATATGTTACGCTGTGATGGTGGTGCATGCCGTATTGTGCAGGACAGCAGATGATTCTGCGTCACTATGATTGTTACTCTCAGTAGAAGAATCATTCTTTTTTTCAAATTTCAGAAGAGATGATTTCCACAATCCGTATGATAGAAAAGCAATTAAGGAAGAGTTACAACGAGAATCAGTACGAAAAATGGAAAAAGTATTAAAAGAAAAACAGGAACAAAAAAAGTTAGACCGTAAAAAAAAGAAAACGAAAAAACCATCACTAACAAGGACTGAACTATAATTTTGTTATACGACTATATTTTGTAAACCCATTGTTGTAGGTCTTTCGAATTCATTTCTATGTTGTTGAAAAAATTTTATGAAAATATGGATTTAAATTGGGGTTCAGATTATTTTGAGAAATGTCAGAGGAGATGATTTACACTTACTCTTCTATTTCGTTAGAACACAACTGAGGCACTTGAATTTGGATTTTTACAAGTCCCAGTGAAAAGGAGTTAATTTTCCTTTAAATTAAGAGCGGATTAATGAGTGTCTGGATCCATTTTGTATAGACTTGCTTACTTATTTATTCACAGTTGTTTATTCAAGTTATTCAAACTTCAAATAAGTGGTGATTTAACTGAAATTAAGAAATATGACGAGATATAAATGTCTCGAAATCTATAACGCGACTGTATTTATATTCAAAAGAAATGGTGAGAGTTGAAGTTTCATTTTCAATGTTTCTTTTCTTGATACTGTTCTCTCATAAATTTGTGCGTTAATAAGTAATGAGATTATATTTAACTATCTTTTCATATATTTATCAAATTTTAATAAGTCCAGGTTAGTGTCCATAACTTTTGAAATTTCAAACTATGTGTAATTGTTCTTTAAGTATTCCGTTCCATCTTCTTTCTGACTACTTTTCCTTTTTCTCATTAGAAAATAAGAAAATGACGCGATAGCATATAAAAGAAATTATCTTTAATTGTTCTTAATTGCTTTTAGCATTAGAGTTACAGATGGCATGTGTTTCTCTTAAGCATAGTTGTACGGCATTTCTGTAAATAATTTTTCAGATTTTATTCATTCATTATTTTATACATTAACATATTTTCACCTATGCTGATTTATCTTTCACTTTTCTTTTTCTCTTATTTATGGATGATGAATTTGTATTGTAATTGTGCGAATTTCGCACTTTTTCACTTTTGCTGAAGAGGAAGAGGAAGGGAGGAGGATATGACTGGGAAAAGGAATGCAGTTGAAGAATTTTGTATAAATTAGATATTGGAGGATCTAAACAAAAAGAATTCAAAGAGAAGAAATAAAATTTAGAAAAAAGAAAGAAGTTTCGGACAAGAATATAAGCGCCTAAATTGTTCGGATTTCTGGATGTATACATTTTATGTAAGTTATGATAATAATGCATTTTAAAATCTATTGCTCATATTATTGTTGCTTGTTTCGAAACACTGCCGTGAAGACGGAACTGTCATTTTATTGGTACAGTTACCTACAAATTTCTTTTCATAACTCAAAATCTTAAACTTTTAGGGAAAATAAATTTCATATGCTTGAAACTTTATTCGATTTATAAAATAAATATTATAAATGAAACTCATTTTAGATGAATCAAGTATGTTTTAATCTATATTGTTGTACGTATCAATGGCAGAGTTCCCAGAACTAGGCAGAAATTGTTCATTAGAAGCCTGCAAAAAACTCGGTTAATTAGTTGCCATGATTTCCCGTTTTAATAATAATCATTATTATAACTCAATGGATGTTTGAGGCAGATTCCACAATTAAAAGCAGGAATGTTTAATGCAGAGTTTCTGAACAATTTTCTTAGTTTGCTGTGGTCGATGGACGGCGATGATTAAAGTTACTAGTTGGTCTTCGTCTGAAAGTTTTTTGGAAGAAAGTTACAATTTTCAAATATTATCAAAATTCTGTTGATATATTCGCGCCATTGATGAAATGGAATTTTAACTTTTTCAGACTTCACTCCGTTCTTCTGCAATACGTGCGAGAAATATTTTTGGTGTGTTTTTGCTGTAAATTTCTCAGTCTGTAGTTATAAGAAGCTTGAATTCCGATATTAAGAAGAAAAAGTACTGCCATGATATGTGAATACCGTTATATGTGGAATATTTTTCTGAGTGAGCATACTCTTGTAATCATTTTTGTAGCTTTAATTTTATTGAAATATATAATTATTCATTTAGCGGTGAACATCGATTTGATCATGATTGTCAGTTTAAAAAATTGAATGCTGAACAATTAGCAACATCCATCTATGACAGTGGTAAACCACTGAAATCTTATTTATGTTCGAAGGATGGCTGTTTCACTTCCGAGATCATCCGAATCGACTGTCAACATTGTGGATTCAACTTCTGTCTGAAGTAAGCATGAAAACAGGGGATTTGATTATAATCTCTTCGTGAGGACAAAGATGGATATAATTGCTTGAACTTATTAAAACCGATTCATATGGTTCAGGAATTTTATTCATCTTTCAAATAATTTTTTCTTCTTAGTGTATGCTAAGATATTTTTTGCATATTTTTGTAGAAATCTTACCACTTTCCACTAAGTATACTTTATTATGCAGGCATCGTTATCCAGAAGAACATCAGTGCCATACCCAAGATGCTAATGGGCAAATTAACGGTGATCTTCAGAAAGAATTAAAAAAAAATATGATTATTGCTGATGACAAAAGAAATATTGGTGAGGCAAGTATCCATTCACCGCTGCAGAAGAAGAAAGTGGTTTGTTTTTTCGTAATATTTCTAATGATATATTCTATAAATATCTAAAATATTATAGAATATTTTATTCTACAAATATGTATTCTATAAATAGATTTTCACATTAAAGTTAATGAAGTCCTAGGAAACGAAAATAATACTCTCTGCATGCTGATAAAAGATAGTCAAAGGTTTTTATATCGTTATTGATTTTTTCGGAATAATTCCCTATGTAAATATCTTTTTAAAAAAAGAAATTGTGATAATGAGGATTAGATATTGTTGTATTCTCAGTATTTAAGATTCTTGATTTTAAAATAAATATTTGGAACTGTTTGAATTTATCGTTTTAGATGGATGAAGCAGTGCAAAAAAGGGCTGATCAAATAGCACTAATGCGTCTTAAATTAAATACTCGAAATTGCAATGTAAACTTTTACGAATAATTGTTTTTAATTGATCTTCGAAGTATTTGTTATGAACTTCTGTTTCTATACTTCATTCATTCTCAACAGGTCACTTATTACAACCTTTAGATTCCACGGCGGCAATCACTTGTTATTACAAACTGACGTTCGTAAGTTATTGATATCATTACAATTATTGTTAGGTAGTTACAAATCAGGTTTTGTTACAGATTCCAACTGTCGAACAAATGTTTTTATTTGTCACAGAAAATCAGAGACGTGAACCAGTTATGGTTTCTAAGGTATGTTTTATTTAGAAAAATTTGGTAGAGTTGTTTAATATCTAAATTTTCAACATGATACGTCTAAAAATTTCAACATAATATTTCTTTATTTTACAGTACTGGACGATAGGACGCTGCCTCGATCAAATTGCTAGACGGTTTTCATTCTCGAATGACAATGCAACTTTTGGAACTAAAGTATCATTTTCGAAATATTTAAGTAAAGTTTCTTAAAGTCAAGCTAGATGTGCAAGTTATGACTAGCTACTAATTGTTTTTTCAAAATCCAAGTTTGAAAATGATCATTCTCTGTAATATGTAATCATTAATAAATGATTCGCTTCGTTTCTTATCTTATTATAGGTACTACGATTGTACTGTGAAGCGGATCAGGCGAATCCTTTGCCGATGAGTGATAATGTTGAGAAGCATTTGAAAGATCTCTCTAACGTTTTTCTCAAAAGGGACGAGTGAAAATATGAAGAAATTGTATTTAAGTAACTATAGGGAAAAAAATATAAAATAGACATGCTTGGTTGGTCAAAGAAAAAATTGTTTGAAGAAAATGTTTTGTAATCAGTTTTTTTGACAGTAATGAACTTCTTAAAAAAATTTTTTAAATCCAGACCGTAGCGCTTCCAGTGGATGGTTAATGAAATGGATTGATTAGCTGCTGATAGCTTTTTTTAGGAATTCGTTGTTCAACTTTGTGAAATTATATTTAAAAAAAAATAAAAAGTCTGTCCTAAATAATTATGATTGGCATGTGATATAGTGCTTATGAAAACTTTTTAATTTATTGTTATTAATAGTTCACACAGTTATTAAATTCTATATTTTCCTCCTTAATAAATGTGTTCAGAAGTTGATAGCTGAGTATGTGGAACTCTATTTGTTTGGTGCGAATTAATATGAAATAATGTTGTGCTTGTTAAAAAATGATGAAATAATGTAGTTCAATGAATTGGATGAATCATTACTCAAAAATTTCTATGTGACAAAGAGCTTTTCGTACATAACGGTGCTAACGTTATTTATGAATGATATTCTGAACTTTCAGGACATTCCATTAAAATTTTAGTTAAGTGAGAGAAGGATGAATTTTGATATTTTAAAGGAATTGTATATTTGGTTGGAATAGTGTGCTTGTTCTGAGTTTTACTATGGGTATAGGAAATTTCTATATTCGTTATATACGGGAGGCAATGTTGCAATGTGCCTATATGTATGTGTACGTAGGTGTATGCCAAGCCATATCTGGTCCCTTGTTTCATTCCATTGGAGGAGGCATAAGTGGCCGTGGCATTGCATTTGAATTTGGTATAATTAATGAATTACAAAGTAATATCATTGGTCGAGGACAAGGGACTATTTCGTCGTTCCAGTGGTAAAATTAGATTCGGATATGGTCATGCTTCAAATTAGAGATAATCTTAGCATGGCATCAAGAACTTTTGTTCTGGATTCATTAGAAGTTAAAACGTTAAGAAGTAATCTGAAATTTACAGCATGACAGCATTAATCAAACTGTCCAGATGCTTTTATTCTCATAATGCTATTTCATCGGCTGCAATATCAGTCAAGCAATTCTCCTCAGCACCAGATTTCGATTCATTAGCTCAGAAAGTTCAGCAATGGAAGGAAAAATCAGCTGTTAGTAGTAACGATAATAATGAAATTTCATCTGCTGATAAAATAATTGAAACAAGGGCGTGGATGAGGTGAGGTTTCTTAATAACTTAATAAGTAATGAATTGGTGGAACATTTGAGTGCATTTGTTTTTTATTCTACAATAGCAAATAGTACATAATTGAGTATGAATATTTTGGACGTAGATATAACACCATCAATTATTCCTTTTAAGATATTTGGTTTGCTGGTTGTCATATAGCTCAAAATTTTGAAATGTGTTTTGATAGTTCAAATTTGCTTTCTTTTTCCAAAAAAATTTCATTACATTTTTAGAGAATTGAAGTTTTGTTTTATTTTAAATTGAAGTTATTCTATGCTGCAGTGCTCCATTGGTATATTGCGACGGTTCATTTGACTGGACATTGAGAAAAGGCGGTATTGGAATATTTTGGAGTCCGAACGATGAACGTAATGTTCATCTTTCACTTACAGGATCGAAATTGACTAATATTCGAGCTGAAATACAAGCAGTGAGCTTAACTGCTTTACAGGTTAGTGCAACATTAAAATTTTTATAGTATGTTAGATGGAATGAAAAATTGATCTACTCAGCGGTCTTGACTTTGCAGAAATGGCAGTAATTATTGTTTTGATTAATTCTTGTAATGACTTTGTATAGTTATTACGCTGTTGTTAGTTGTAATGAATTCTTTAATTGATTGTTGTTATTGAAGATCATTCTTTTTATTATCGCTATAGCAGTAATAATCAATTTCTTTTTTACTTTTATACTTTCCTCTTTTTTCATTTTTTACAGTTGATAGTAATGCAGTTTTGTTATAGCAAAATAATTTGCGAGAAAGCATTTTGAATGTTATTTTATCTTTGCTGCTGAAATGACTATAAGAGTGTGACATCAATTTTATTACCTTATTAACATAAGTTTACTGTTTTTAGGCTTGTTCTCTGGATTTCGATCGAATAATTATCAAAACAGATTCGCAGTTTGTAGTGAAAGTAATTAATTCATGGTTATCCCGATGGCGTTCCAACGAGTGGAGGAAAGCAGATGGAAAACAAATCGAAAATATGGATGATATCCAGAAACTCAGCCGTTATGCTGAAATGATAAAAGTATGTCCAAATTTATCTATTCGTTACTTCGCAAAACATATTTCATGCCTAAACATGTTTTTTGGTTAGACATATGGTAAAGAAGAAAATCAAAAAGTACTTAAGCGCCAGTACCGAAATATTGGAACGAGTATTTTGGTATACTTCACTGTCCATCGATACACATAGATTTAAGCCCACTTTATTTAGCGAATGCCTCATTTTAATCTAATTTAATTTTTAAACTTCTATGTTTTCAAATACTATCATTAATTGTCAAGATTTCCTAGATGCGTGTGGAGCATACATATGGACATCAGAAATACGAAGAAAACAAAGAATTGGAAGAAAACTGGAGTGAAATGTCATGTGATGAAAGGGATCGTTGCGGGAATTTTCATAGTGATCGGTTATCGAGATTGGCTGTTGACCAACCAATGATGACGGATGAACAATTCGAGGAATTATGTAAAGCCAAACTCGACAAACACTGTTGTTGATTTTTTTTCATCCAGATTAACCTGTTATTTGCTGTGTTTTCCTTCAATTCATATGAATTTCAAGCAAGAAAAGGGGTTCCATTTCTTTTTCTGATGAACTGAGAAACAAATTATCATTCTCTGTTTGTTGCCATTGTTTAAAATCTGCTCAAGATTTTAAGCTTTCTTAAATCTCGAGATAATGCGATAATGATAGTGGAAGGTAAGGATCAAAATGTGGTTGGCTTGCTCCTAGACCTGGAATTTTTATGGAAAAATCAATCCTTCATTCGTGATATCTCTTTACTACTTTTTTCGTTGTTTCTAATCAATTATTTTTTGGACAAAATAGTGCAAGCTTCGTAGAGCAGATATTAGTTTGACATTTTTTTATTATAAGTCTTACATCCTGCAAAAAAATTTCTGAGCAATAGAAAAATAATATTTCCCACTATTGCGAAAATTATTTTAAACTACATTGTTGACCACTTAGTTTCAAACGTGTAAGATCTTTTAATGCAGAACATACTTTTTCAGTTGGATTTTTTTCGATGTAAGTGAACTTCTAAGTAAACGATAACTTTTGCTTAACACGACTAGTTCTTTCGGCAGCGGCGTAGCGACAGACTAAATGAGATAAAAATCGGCCCATGAACCGATGAACCAATTGCTTCGATTAATCAAAGAATCATCGTTAAGATATCGGAAGTTCGTTTTATAGTGATACTTTTTTGATGAAAATTTTTAGCAGATTGTTCGTAGTTTGGCCTTGTCAGATGTGAAAATGACATTTCGTCACGATGAAAGAGTTTTTTTTCAATGAAAGCAAATAAATATTTGCTGTTGGAAGCCCTCAAGAACATGCTGTTATGCTGAAGTTTCTTTTGTGCTGACTCTCATTCCTATGAAAATGCCGAACAAAAGCATAATATTTCACTACACATTGGAAGATAATAAAATTTTATTGCATGAGCAGTAATTACAGTGGCAAGGATGGACTATTTTGAACTTCTACATATTAAACTCCTACATATATACATATTATGCCATTATGTATTTTGCGTAAAGGCGATCTCATTATTTACGCAAAACTACGTCATTCTTATGTTATAATGTAATCGTAAAAACAAGATGACTAGAGGTACAATTCACTTGTCGTTAAGATCAGGAGACAGTGATTCCATCATTTGGTCGAGTTTCTGTTCAAGAGTTGGTACAATTTCCTTATCGACTATGATATGCGTTTCATCCAAATCCTTCACTATGAACTTTGATCCCAGTGCGCGTGACTCGTCAAGATATACCAGTAGTTGACGCATAGCCGGATCACAGCGCACCAACACGCCCTTCTTTACATTCACCATTCTTCAGTCACTTCACCTTTCTGCAAAATTTGGTAATTTGAATTTTCAAAATGAAACTTCTAAATTATCAAATTTCTTATTAGATACTAAATTTTGAATATTCAAAATTAAATGTGAAACGACAACATCCAGCTAATTACAACCGCACCAGAAAGAATCCGATCTGTCAACGCCGGTCTTGCGAGAAATGGATCAATTGACTTTGCCAGACTTTTTGACGCTATTTTGTTATAGGGTGGCAGGATAAACATTAGACTCGGGAGTTCGGTGATGAGAGAAATGGTTGGATTACTTTGTGATAGACTTCAATCAATGTGTTAACGGGACAGCTTGTATGGCAGTATAAACAAATGATCGGGGGAAGCGGGTCAATGCTATTCCGAAAAGACGGGTACGTTTGTGATCACCAGCGATACGACCATCCATACTTTCCAGTATTATCAACATCGAGCTCATGTTACTTTCAATTATTCAGCTTTTCTGTTGGTTTTTTAATGTGTCTATTTCTTCAATAGAAGGCAATACAAACTGTTGTTCCTATTTCTTGCTACGATCAAGAATTTGCACTTACTTCATTTTACGGATTGAT